ATAAAAATTAGTGTGTCAGATTGGTCGAGACGCTACATTACATTGAGTTTTTGTAGCAGGGAGAGTTTATTAAAAGCGTCTAATGTATGAAGTTAAGTGTTGCTCATCTCATGAACTATTAAGGCTAGGGAGTATATAGACGGTGTAAGATATATCACTACATCGATGTCGCGCATGCATCAGAAAAATAACAGGAAACTGCATCTGAAGACGCACGCAAGCAGAGCAAAATAACTGTTTCGCATTTTGCTAAATTATCCGATGTTGAATGTTACATTTTACATGAAACAAGCAATTGTACTTTTATGAGAGCGATAATAGCAAAAGGACTACTGTAATGACGTTTTGTAAAACTAAACACTCTGTAGAAAATACAGATTAATATATCATGAGTCAAAGACATTAAGATGTCCGCATCAAAAGAAATGAACAAAAGTGATCTTATGTCGATAGAAAGCACATTAAATGTAACTAAAGTGTACTTTTAAGATTTCAGATAAGTTTTTGGAGGATACAATGTTACAATTTGGTTGAAATAATGTTACATTGTCATTCAGTGTAACACAATATTTATGTAAAAATTCAAACATGCTTATTCTGACGCGTACATGTTAAAATATATAAAAGAATAAGAGAGAATATTACATTTGATTGTTTTAAATTAGTAAAAAATTATTACTGACAAATGGGCAAAAGCTAGGATAGAGGCACATTTTAGAAATTTAAAATTACGACTAATTAGTATTCAGGGTGAAAGTAATTAGTCGTTTAATGCGTCATAAATTGATTTTTGTTTGTTGTAAATATGCCTGACAAGATTGTTACACTGAATGATATTTTAGTGGCTCTCTTCTGAAAATCAGGGGAAAATGTATGATATTTATTTTTTGCTCAGAAACACAAAAACAAAATTGCAATTAAATTAAACCGAATTTTTTTTCAATGAAAATTAGAAACGTTGCTTTGGCAACTAAGTGAAAAACTAATAAAAAAAAATAAAAAAAACTACAAATATTTCTTAAATTCAACAAAATATACAATTGAAAAAGCACATAAAATTACTAAAACTAAACTGAAATAAAAAAAAAGGCTACTATAAAATAAAGCAATAATCCCCGTGAAGCCGAGGTTTACAGTGAATTTATAACGGCTAAGGGGCGTTGTTAGGTTAATTCACTGTAAACCACGGCTTCACGGGGGTTTTTGTTTTTTTAAAA